GTCTGTGTTGCACTCGTGGCTGTGCTGCCAATGCGTGATGCTTGCAGCCCTTTCTTTGATGCTCAGTTTGTTGGTGTCCCGCTCTGACTTTTGTTCATCCTTGTTCTTCTTTCTTCCCCTTCCTCCCTCCCCATCGCAGGGATGTCCCGTTCTCCATCGTTTACTTCCCGCTGTTTGCAAACCTGAACAAGCTGGGCCAGAAAGACCCCAATGTCAAGGCTCCGTTCTACGTGTCCTTCCTCTCTGGATGTGTGGCTGGCAGTACGGCTGCAGTGGCTGTCAACCCTTGCGATGGTGAGTCCCGAGTAGCCTGTGCTGGTGGCCTGGCACCAAGTGACAGGAGTCAGAGGCCCACGAATGGGCTAAGTGAGGAGGAAGGTGACTGTGCCAGCCTCTTCACAGCATGAGCGCACAGGGAGGTACAGGAGGGGAGCTCTGCTGTCTGAGCTGCCTCTAGCTCAGATGATGTTTCCTTCAGAGCTAGATCTTTGGCCGCAGCTTACAGAGGTTTGCAGTACTTGCTAGATAAGTCAGGAAGAGGGTGTCATTCATTTCAGTCATTCTCCACAGGAATGGCTGCAAACATGCCCCTGAAAAGGCACGTTTCCATGTGGAGTGATAGTATGCACACCATTTACATGCATATGATCATGGACAGCCAGGGGGACCCTCAGATCTATGGCCTTTTCTCCTGCTCCACAGCATCTGCCTTAAATATCACCTCGGTTTCTCTGCTGTGAAAAACACCAGAAAGTAAATCCTCTCTCCCCAACATTGCACATGCTCCAAGGTGTGAAGAAATGTAAGAGCAGCATCGTATATTTAGATACTTCTTCCAGAAGGAGCTGAGTATTTGAAAATCAGTTCCCACTTTGCAGAAAGATGTCTGAATTTGGAAGCATTTAAAGCTTAAGTCAGCCTTGGAAACCTTGGTCACAGTGAGGGGAGGGGGTTGGGTTTTGGGTGGCTGTATTTTTCTTTTATCCACTTGTAAAGGAATGCGTTTTCCCCTGTTTTGCTGATAAATATATGAAAATGGTCTGTGTTCTTAGTGATCTCATTTTGATTGTGTTTCAAAGACATTACTCTCAGGGTGGCTCTTGCCTGCTGAAGAGTGTGCTACATTCCCAGTGCTCACCACTGTCTCTCTTCTCTCTTTCTCCCCAGTGATCAAAACGCGGCTGCAGTCCTTGCAGAGAGGAGTGAACGAGGACACCTACTCAGGAATCCTGGACTGCACCAAGTAAGACTCCTCGTGAAGCAGGCCACCACATCAGATGTACGGCATCTGCTGCTGCCTGCTGCCAGGCAGTCAGTGCAGCTTCTAGACCCAACCAGCAGCTTCTCTGTTTCAGGTTCCCTCTGAACCTGTGCTTTTATCTATCTATCTATATGGATAGATATATACTGTTCATATATATAGGTATATAAAAGAGAACTTCTTCCTATTTTGAGCAAGGTAAATACAGCATCTATATTTAAATGCTTCTGTCAAAACCCCAACAGTCATAACACAGATTTTCTTTCTGCAAAGTGAGGCAATGCTCTGGCTGTCTCTCCCAAGACACTGTTGTCTGAAAATCCTGCAGCATTAAGGCTCATCTCCCTCCCGGGAGGGCTCTGAACAGTGGCTGCAGGAGTGCTGTCTGTCTGGGCTGTCCCCAGCCGCACTCTCCTCTGACCCTTTGCTGAACTGTGGTCTGGCTGCTTCAAAACATGAAGGGAGTTTCAAAACACAAGTGCTCTGCTTCTGTATTGCTGTTGTAGTCAGAGTCTCTCACCAGCTGGCTGTGTCTGAGGCCAGACTCCACCTACTGAGGGTGGAGTGGGCCCCAACTTTTGAACAGGGGGACCTCTTGGATGCAAGCATGGGGTTGTCTTAGCTGTACATCCAGACCCAGGCAGTCTGGCCTCCTGGCCAGACGTAGGGATGGGGCATGTTTCTCCATGGCCATTTGCAGAGCACATGGGGGATGGGTGGATGATCTGCTGTGGAGGCGGTGCCAGGCGACAGGCAGAAAGCCAGGGCATGGCCAGAGGCTCTCCTGGTGTGGTGGAGGGGTGGGATGGACACTTACCTGTCTGTGCTGTCTCTCCCCAGGAAGATCTGGCAGAAGGAAGGGCCCATGGCCTTCCTGAAAGGGGCGTACTGCCGAGCCCTGGTCATTGCTCCTCTCTTCGGCATTGCACAAGTTGTCTACTTCATCGGCATTGCGGAGTTCCTGCTGGACATGCTCCCCAAGCACCGGGCCTAGCCCCGGCGCACCTGCGTGTGCCCTCCCGCCCTCTGCCACGCCGAATTCATCCCCGTGTTTGTCATCCGTGTCAATTGGTGTCAGAGCAACAGCACAAAGGGTTTGCGCGGGGATGCCGAGGGGACGTGGTCTCCAGACAAGCAAACATGGGGAGGGAGAGAGTCCCTTTTCTGTCACGGTCTGGAACATGTCCCCTCCTGCTCCTTCCACGGACAATACCTAATTATGCATTATTTTTTTTCTTTCCTTCTTTTTGTTTTTAAATTGTTATTTTTAAGGATGCTGGTAAGCACAGACTGGGCTTGCAGACCCAGAAGTCTCTTCCCAGCCTTGGGGAAGAAGAGGGGTGGGAAAGAAATAACCTGAACCCTTATCCACCCCAGTCCCCCTCTTTCTTCCTGGAGTTGCCAGCTATCTGAGGAGGAGCTGGAGGGGCAGCTGTGTCCCCTCAGTCCCTCCTCAGCTCTGCTGGCCCTGGGTCAAGAGTGGGCACTGCACAAAGAGGGCTCATCTCATCGCCGCTGGAGGCAAGGGTGGGGGGCTGCTGGATCTGGCAAATTCCTTGGCCTGGAAACTTTCACACCTCCCTTATCCCTTTCTCGAAAATGAGTTGGACTTAGATGAACTTCTTGGAGACCAGAGGAAGGGAAAGGGGATTGTTACTACTAGTTTTGTAATTATTTTTGTTTTAAAGCAAAGGGATGTCCCTCCTAACTAGGTGTCACAGGCACATCTGGGTGAGGTGCAGAGATGAGATGTCTGCTCTGTAGGGAACATGTCTGTGGGATCACACGAATGTCCGAAGGTGCTTGGCTGCAGGCAGGGGAGGGAGAGGAACTTGGGATCAAGTTATTTTTTTTTCGGGTTTTTTTTCTGTTTGTTTGTTTTTTTAATGCAGGGGTTATGGGGAGGGAAAACCAGACAACAAGAAACCACTTACATTCCTTCAGCCTGCCCGCCCTGGGGTTATTAAAGTGGTGGCCGCAGGTGTAGATAGCTGATTTTTTTTTTCCAGCCTGGCCCCAGGTGCATGAAAGGAGGTGCCTGCTCTGCTTCTACGGTGCCCGACCTCAGGGAGCCACACTAGAAATGCCATGCCTGTGTGCTCACCTTGCAAGGTGAAAACACAAGGTCTGATTGTGCTTTGGTGTTTGACTTCGGCATGTTTGGAGCCAGCCGGTGTTGAAGAGGCGGAGGCTTCCCGCACCCTGAGCAAGGAGCTGTTTGCGCATACGTGATTATGGGGTCAAGTCCTCCGGATCATGAAAACTCATCATCCCGCTCGCTTCTGGGGTGGTGATCGTTGTTGGGTGGCAGGGGGCAAATCCACACCTACAACCCGCTCTGTCAAAGGGACACTGCCCCAGCTAACATCACTTGTCAGAGGACTTCCTCGTTCAGCACTCTTTTGGGCTGTGTAATTAATTCTAGTTTAAATGATCCTAAGTGCAAGATCAACCAATTCAGTGTAATCTTCTCCATTATTTATTCCATTTGGTGCAATCCACCCGACTTTGGTGTTTAAATTAAACTGGTCGAATTCACTTTTCTTTCCTCCTTCTTTTTGTTTTGTTCTCCAGGTGCTTGCTTGGTGTTTGTGTTTCAAATGTATATTTAAATTAATTAAAAAAAAAAAAAAATCCCTGTTTTTAATGTTTAAAAGAAAACCACCTCTGTTTCAACATTCTTGGTTTAGTTTTTGCAAAACCTGTATGTGAAGGCTTTCTTCCTTGATGCGTCCTTTTTCTCTTCGAAAAAGTTGTTCTGTCACTTTGCATATGTGAATAATTTTTTGGTTTTTTTCTTAATGACTTTGTTTATCTGGGAATGAATCTGTGCAAAGACAATGATAGATGTCTGTGCTGTGTGTAGTGCTGTGATGCTGCTATTGCTCTGGATTTCCCTTGGGTGGATTAAAAGAGAAAGATTCTTTTTTTTTTAAGGTGCCCCATTCCTTGCTGCTTTGTGACTTACAAGGAGGGTCCCCGAAAGAAACCTTGCCCATAAAAGTAGTGGGATTTCTGCTTGCCCTTCTGCCTGCAAGGATTGCCCCCTGAAGCTGGGTGATTTGCAGCTGCAGGGGGGTGCGTGGGGTGCAGGTTTGTGTTGTGGGGTTACATTTGGAGGAAAATTTGGTGCAGTGAAGGATTGAGGTTCAGGGAAAGCTCTCCTTGTCCTTTTGGATGCTTTTAAAAACCTCTTTGTAAAACTGACTCTTCCTCCCGAATTCTCCAGCTCTTATTTCACCATGTTGGAGCTGGTGACCTGAATGGGGCTGATTTTTTTTTTTTTACCTGCTTGGACATGTCCCTGAGTCAGGAGGGCAGCAGGAGGTGGCAGGGGGTAGTGACTGTGGCCCTGGGGGAGCCCCCAAGGCACGCAGGGTGCTGCTCGCCAAAAAAATAAGAGTTTAAAATGGGAGAATTCCCATCAACTTAATTAATCACCAATTACCAGAAACCTCTAAGCATCGATTGCAGTATTAAAGAATAAAAGTAGATAAATACACTTAGAGAAACGTGCCTCTGCTCCTCTCCCTGCGGGTGCCACTCGTACCCAGGGCAGGGGACAACAGCCAGCATGGGGTCAACTCTTTGTGCGTCCTACCTGGTCCCTCTGGCATAGGGTCCTCCACTGACCCCAGGCCCTTTTCAGTCGTACCTTGTCCCATGGCTCTTGTGGCTCCAGTTTGTTTGGGTTTTGTGGTGTTTACTGCCCTTAAATATGTTTTGGTGGAGGTGCCGTATGCCCCTGTCATGGGTTCAGGTGGGTGGGTCGGTTTTGGCTGGTGAAATTTCCTGGAATGCAATAAGGAAATTTACTAAAGCCCTAGGGGAAACTTCCTACAGAGCAAAAAGGAAATTTCTTGGAAATCAATAGGGGAATTCTTGGAAAGCAAAGGGAAATCATCCTAGAAAGCTACAGTAAAACATCCTGGAAAACAAAGGGGAAATTTACTGCAAGACAATGTAGGAATTTCCTAGAGAGCACTAGGGGGAATTCCTCAGAAGCAAAGGGGGAAATATTCTGGAAATTTGTAGAAAGCAATGGGGAAACTTCCTAGAAGGCCTTAGGGGGGATAGCCTAGAAATCAAAGGAGAAAAATTCATAGAAAGCAAGGAGGAAATTTCCTCAAATACCAGGGAAATTCCTGAAAAGCAAAAGTGACATTTCTTAAGAAAGTAACAGTGATATTCCCTAGAGGGGAAATTTCCCAGAAAGCAAAGGAGGAATTACTGGAAATCAAAAGGGGAATTTCCTGGACAGGAAGAATGAAATTTCTTGGGAAATAATTTCTTGCTTCCCAGGGAGTCATGGGGAAATTTCCTAGAAAGCAATAGAAGTCCTGTAAAGCGGAGAGAAAATTCCTAGAAAGCAATGGAGGGCTCTAGAAAGCAACAAGGAAATTTCCCAGGAAGCAAGGGAGGAATTTCCTGGAAAGCAATGGGAGGGAAATATCCTGCAAAGTGACAGGGAAATTTCCTGGAAAGCAATGGAGGAACTTCCTACAAAGCGATAGGGGGATTTCTTAGGAAGGGAGAAATTTCCTGGAAAACCATGCAGGAGTTCATAGTAAGCAGTAGGGAGAGGTTCCTGGAAAGAAGGGGAAATCTCCTCGAAAGCAAGAAGCATAGGGGGAAAGAGGCCAAATTCCTGTGCTTCAGCCCTGATGACCACCACTCTAGTCCTTGGGTAATAAATTTCTAAAACTCCTGCAAATCTCAGGGGTTTTTGGTTTTTTTACCGCTCCTCGCAGAGCTCAAACGGGCTCAAGGAAGAGCAACGAGGGCAAGCGCTTGGGTTGCATGTGACCTGCCTGAAATCATGGTTATTTGCTAATTTTCCTCTAATTTAATGCAAAAATCTACATAACCTGCACCACAATGGTCCGAGGCACAGGGTGACCATTTTCTATCATGGGCGGCTGTGCCCAGGACCCATGTTACTGGAAACCAGCTGCAGCCCCAGCCGGGCACCGCTTCCCCTTTCTGGGGTGGGGGGATGCCACCGTGCACCGGCCACCCTGATCCCACCTCCACCCACTCCCCCCCTCGCTTTCTGGGTCTGGCATGGCCGGCAGGGACCCCCACAGGGTTCATCCCTTTGCAAGGGTGGTGCTGGCTCTGAAACATACACACAGGGATAATGCACGACCCCAGGGTTGATCTTCCTCCTTTTTTTCCCTTCTTTTTTTGCATAAAACCGCGGTGCCGCCATGCCGGACAGCAGTGCCAGAGAGCCCCCGATCCCGCCGAGGCAGCTGCGAGGCACAGAAACCACGTGCCAGCAACTCCTGGCCCCTCTCCTGCCGTGACCAGGGGTGGTCAGGTGCTCCAACACCCGCCTCTGCAGATGTTCAACCTGAGAAGCTGGGAGCTGGCGCGGTGCCGGGAGCAGTGCCAGGCCCACAGGAGTGCCCCGGCTTTACGGGAAAAGGGAGTGCTGGGAAAGTCGGCTCCTGGACGCAGGGAGTGTGGCCAGTGCCCACTACCCTCCTGGGGTTTGCTTCTATTTTTAAATTTTTTTATAGCATGCCCTTAGCGTGAAAACCAAGGCAGCCTGAAAGAAGAAGGATTAAAATTAATATAATATAAAAGCCAGGGGATTTTCCAGCCCTGAGGGCTGAGCCCTGCATGCCCGGGCTGTGCCGCCGGTGTGCCCCGGAAAGCCCCAGCAGCGGTGAGTGCAGCTGCTTTCGGGCCGAGCCCGAGCATTTTGGGGTGTCCTCACTGCCTGCCTGCCCTTTGCTCTTTGCAAACCCGCGTTGTTTAATTTCAGGGTGCAGTCATCCCACGCCAGTGCTTTTGGGGCCGCAACAGCCCGTGGGGAGCAATCCCAGCACAGGGTCA